ATTCGTTGTTATATCGATCCACTGAAAGGATTCGTCAATGTAAATATAAGGAATGATATTTATTTTTTCAACATTTATGAGGTCATAACAACAATGGGTTTTTGGACATATTTTACATGAATCGCTAACGCGATTCATTCAATATGTCCATAAACCCATTGTTGTTATGACCTCATAAATGTTGAAAAAATAAAAATCATTACTTAAATGCCAAGCATTTGTATATGTAGTTTTGGGGTGGGGATCTAAATCGTTTCAAAGTTATGACCAAGGGGTAAAGTTTGCAAGGGTGGGGCAGATGCCGGGGTCAATTCTAATATCATGACAGCATTTGTCTCTTTATGCCCATATTGTATATATAGTTTTGGGGTGGGGATCTCAACCATCTTAAATTTATGACCCAGGGATTAAGACTCCAAGGGTGAAGCCAGACCCCGGGTAGACTCCGGGGCCATCCTAAAAGCATATGTGCATTCTCCTCATACTCAGCAATTGTACATATGGTTATAGGGTGGGGATCTCAACCATTTCCAAGAAATAAACTTTTTTTGGCCCCAACCCTTAGCCCGAGGGGTCAGCCCAAATATTTGTACGATTTTGAAACCCCATCTCCCATGAATGCTTCCGACCAAATATGATTTATTTCCAGTACATAGTTCTACAGAAGTTGTTTTTAGCAATAAAGCCAAATTGCCCCCTTTTGGCCCCACCTCTCAACCGCCTGGGGGTTGAGCCCTACCATTTGTACAATTTTGAATTCCCCCTACCTAGGGATGCTTCCAGTCAAATATGGTTGATATCCGTTTTTAAGTACCGGATCCAGAGTTGCTAAAAGCAATGTAGCCAAATAACCCTTTTTTGCCCCGCCTGTAAGCCCCCTTTGGGTCAGCCCAACTGTTTGTACAATTTTGAATCTCTGCCTTCTATGAATGCTTCCAACTCCAACCAAATATGACCAATATCCAGCGCAAAGTTCTACAGAAGAAGTTGTTTATAGCAATATAGCCAAATTGCCCGCTTTTGACCCCACTCCTCAGCCCCCTGGTGGTTAGCCCCACCATTTGTACAATTTTGAATCCTCACCACCTACGGATGCTTCCAGTGAAATTTAGTCAAATTCCAATCAGTGGTTAAGAAGAATTAGTCTTTTGAAGGAATTGTTGACATACAGACGACGGACCAGGTGAGCGAACAATAAAATACTCACGGAGGAATCTTTTCTATAATGGCTGCTAATAACTCCTGTACCCCAGTGCCAACCTTAGCAGATATCTGAAACAAATTCAGGTATTCATATTAATAACTAGGCTTATTCCTGACTTCAGACACAAAAGATTTTTTATTGAGAGGGGAAGGGGAGTGTGTTAAATTTCATCTTTCCTGATCATAAAACAAATTCAAAATTTGTCCAAATGCATTCGACAGAAATAGTCTCATCACTTGTTTTGTATAAAATTATATCTAGGAAGGTGTTTTATAGTACCAATTATATACACACAGGTACATTTCAAGGCTTGACTCATTACCAAAATATATGTTTGTTTTACCTTGAAGACATCATCAGGGTCTGTGTCAAACACATTGTTCAGCTGTTCCAGGACTATTTCCGGTTTGGCATTGTGGAGATCTATCTTATTCAGGCACGGTATAATAGTTAGATTTCTTTCAAATGCCAGGAAAAAATTAGCCATGGTCTGTGCTTGCACACCCTTAAATCAACAAGAGAGAAATGTAACCAACACTTACCACAGTTGATGTATTTTGGGATGAACATTCAATGTACCAGTTTATTAGGTTAAGATCATTTGCTCTTACATAAATGCTTGCTTATAGCCATAGATGTCTAGTAGTAAGAATAGTCAGCACTGTAATTTATAGTGCATATAATATTTACTTGTATAATTTTATTATAGAGATCAATTTTTGGCCATAATGTAGAGACGGACCACAAATTGACCAAATCATTATCCACCACCATCAAAAAAATAACCAGTTATCAGTGTATTATATGTAAGCTGTAACACTGTATTTTGTATAGCCCTGTAGACAGTGACTGGGTTATATAGCTATAAATCACTTACCTGGTTAGCATCTACCAACAGTATAACACCCTGACAGGCTGAGAGTGACCAGTAGACAGTGACTGGGTTATATAGCTATAAATCACTTACCTGGTTAGCATCTACCAACAGTATAACACCCTGACAGGCTGAGAGTGACCTCGACACCTCGTAGCTGAAATCAACATGACCCTATAAGAAAACAGACAACATAATAGTTAAAATAAACATGACCCTATAAAAAAAAAAAAAAACCCAAAAAAAAAAAAAAACACATTTTTGTATTAAAAATCAACATGACCCTGTAAGAAAACAGACAGCATAATAGTTAAAATAAACATGACCCTATAAAAAAACAGACAACCTAGAAGTTAAAATCAACATGACCCTAAAAGAAAACAGACAACATAATAGTTTAAATCAACATGACCCTATAAGAAAACAGACATCATTGTAGTTAAAATCAACATGACCCTGTAAGAAAACAGACAACATAATAGTTAAAATCAACATGACCCTATAAGAAAACAGAAAACCTTGTAGTTAAAATCAACATGACCCTATAAGAAAACAGACAACATAATAGTTAAAATAGGTTCTGTAAGAAAACGGACAACATTGTAGTTAAAATCAACATGACCCTATAATAAAACAGACAACCTTGTAGTTAAAATCAACATGACCCCATAAGAAAACAGACAACATAATAGTTAAAATCAACAGAACCTTGTAAGAAAACGGACAACATTGTAGTTAAAATCAACATGCCCCTATAAGAAAACAGACAACCTTGTAGTTAAAACCAACACGACCCTGTAAGAAAACAGACAACCTTGTAGTTAAAATCAACACGACCCTATAAGAAAACAGACAACATAATAGTTTAAATCAACAGGACCCTGTAAGAAAACGGACAACATTGTAGTTAAAATCAACATGACCCTATAATAAAACAGACAACCTTGTAGTTAAAATCAACATGACCCTATAAGAAAACAGACAACATAATAGTTAAAATCAACAGAACCTTGTAAGAAAACGGACAACATTGTAGTTAAAATCAACATGACCCTATAAGAAAACAGACAACCTTGTAGTTAAAATCAACATGACCCTATAAGAAAACAGACAACCTAATAGTTAAAATCAACATGACCCTATAAGAAAACAGACAACATAATAGTTTAAATCAACAGGACCCTGTAAGAAAACGGACAACATTGTAGTTAAAATCAACATGACCCTATAAGAAAACAGACAACCTTGTAGTTAAAATCAGCACGACCCTATAAGAAAACAGACAACCTATTAGTTAAAATCAACACGACCCTATATGAAAACAGACAACCTTGTAGTTAAAATCAACATGACCCTATAAGAAAACAGACAACCTTGTAGTTAAAATCAACATGACCCTATAAGAAAACAGACAACCTAATAGTTAAAATCAACATGACCCTATAAGAAAACAGACAACCTTGTAGTTAAAATCAACATGACCCTATAAGAAAACAGACAACCTTGTAGTTAAAATCAACATGACCCTATAAGAAAACAGACAACCTTGTAGTTAAAATCAACATGACCCTATAAGAAAACAGACAACCTTGTAGTTAAAATCAACATGACCCTATAAGAAAACAGACAACCTTGTAGTTAAAATCAACATGACCCTATAAGAAAACAGACAACCTTGTAGTTAAAATCAACATGACCCTATAAGAAAACAGACAACCTTGTAGTTAAAATCAACATGACCCTATAAGAAAACAGACAACATAATAGTTTAAATCAACATGACCCTATAAGAAAACAGACAACATAATAGTTTAAATCAACAGGACCCTGTAAGAAAACGGACAACATTGTAGTTAAAATCAACATGACCCTATAAGAAAACAGACAACCTTGTAGTTAAAATCAGCACGACCCTATAAGAAAACAGACAACCTATTAGTTAAAATCAACACGACCCTATATGAAAACAGACAACCTTGTAGTTAAAATCAACATGACCCTATAAGAAAACAGACAACCTTGTAGTTAAAATCAACACGACCCTATAAGTAAACAGACAACCTATTAGTTAAAATCAACATGACCCTATAAGAAAACAGACAACCTTATAGTTTAAATCAACATGACCCTATAAGAAAACGGACAACATTGTAGTTAAATCAACATGACCTTTTAAGAAAACAGACAATAAACAAAGTTGCTAATATATAAATTGACAATTTTTACTAGGTTTTATTATTAAATATCACCGAAATACTAAATGATTACCCTTTTACAAAACACAGAAGATTTACCAATTTTGACTGAATCATGAAGTCATGTGTTTATTTGAGTTTGGTAAGTTGTTTTGTAAGAGAATTTTTGCAAAACATAGAACAGAAATCATGTTTTTTTTATATAGAACATGATTCACCAGAGATATATATGTGTCACTGAGGATGTCGTTTTTATATGTCAATGAACGTCACGAAACATTTCTTAAAACACACTCCAGTCAGCCCATCTCTTCCTATAACATTTATATCTAATACTGAGACCCCAGCCTAGACATACAAACCGGTGTGTCAATAAGGTTCAGGAGGTAGGTTTGTCCTTTGTGCGTGTGGAACAGTGAGGCAGTCCGAGCCTTGACGGTGATGCCTCGCTCCTTCTCCACTTGTAGTGTGTCCAACACCTGCTGGTTCTTGGCATTCTTAGGTATGGTACCTGATGGCAACAGGAAGGCTTTCATAGAATTATAATGGTAATGTACATAGACAATTAGATAAAGCTAAACAGAAGAAAAAAATTATAATCAAACATCCCTTACTTTCTGCTTCATGGAGCAGAATTTTTGTAAATACTCAACGGTGAAGAAAGGAAAACAAGGTTCTGTTTAGGAATGCTACACCAACTTATGTACATGGAGGGGGTTTGGTTGTGGTTTTATTTTAATTAACGTCCTATTAACAGCTAAGGTCATTTAAGGATGTGCCTCCATGTGTGTAGTGTAAGTGTGCATGTGTGTATGTGTGCCAGATATGGCTGTATCACACACTTGAGGGGTGAGGGTAGATTTGTCACAATCACTTATAAATGCATATGGCTGGGGTACATGCATCACACACTTGTAGGGGTGAGGGTAGATTTGTCACAATCACTTATGCATATGGTTTGGGTATATGTGTCACGCTTGAAGCAGTGAGGGTAGAGTTGTCACAATCACTTATGTATTAAGAGGTACCATTTGTGTATTAAGACATACGTGGGGTAGAGGTGGGACGATGTGGATGCATGTAAGGATGGCAGTTACAATGTCCCACTCTATGTATAGTTAGGGGTTTCACACCCACTTATATAGCATAGGAGTAGGGTACAGGTATGTCAAACCCACTTGTGTACATGTGTGAAGGAGTAGGGTACATGATTCACACCCATCTGTGTAGGTGTCGGTATATGAAGGAGTAGGGCACATGATTCACACCCATCTGTGTAGGTGTCGGTATATGTAGGAGTAGGGTACATGATTCACACCCATCTGTGTAGGTGTCGGTATATGTAGGAGTAGGGTACATGATTCACACCAATCTGTGTAGGTGTACATGTATGTAGGAGTAGGGTACAGGATTCACACCCATCTGTGTAGGTGTACATGTGTGAAGGAGTAGGGAACATGATTCACACCCATCTGTGTAGGTGTCGGTGTATGTAGGAGTAGGGTACGTGATTCACACCAATCGGTGTAGGTGTACATGTGTGAAGGAGTAGGGTACATGATTCACTCCCATCTGTGTAGGTGTCGGTATATGTAGGAGTAGGGAACATGATTCACACCAATCTGTGTAGGTGTACATGTATGGTATGTAGGAGTAGGGTACAGGATTCACACCCATCTGTGTAGGGGTACATGTGTGAAGGAGTAGGGTACATGATTCACACCCATCGGTGTAGGTGTCGGTGTATGTAGGAGTAGGGTACATGATTCACACCAATCGGTGTAGGTGTACATGTGTTAAGGAGTAGGGTACATGATTCACACCCATCTGTGTAGGTGTGGGTGTATGTAGGAGTAGGGTACATGATTCACACCCATCTATGTAGGTGTCGGTATATGTAGGAGTAGGGTACGTGATTCACACCCATCTGTGTAGGTGTCGGTATATGAAGGAGTAGGGCACATGATTCACACCCATCTGTGTAGGTGTCGGTATATGAAGGAGTAGGGCACATGATTCACACCCATCTGTGTAGGTGTCGGTATATGTAGGAGTAGGGTACATGATTCACACCAATCTGTGTAGGTATACATGTATGTAGGAGTAGGGTACAGGATTCACACCCATCTGTGTAGGTGTATATGTGTGAAGGAGTAGGGTACATGATTCACACCCATCTGTGTAGGTATGGGTGTATGTAGGAGTAGGGTACATGATTCACACCCAGCTGTGTAGTTGTGGGTGTATGTAGGAGTAGGGTACATGATTCACACCCATCTGTGTCGGTATGGGTGTATGTAGGAGTAGGGTACATGATTCACACCCTTCTGTGTAGGTGTACATGTGTGAAGGAGTAGGGAACATGATTCACACCCATCTGTGTAGGTGTGGGTGTATGTAGGAGTAGTGTACATGATTCACACCCATCTGTGTAGGTGTGGGTGTATGTGGGAGTAGGGTACATGATTCACACCCATCGGTGTAGGTGTACATGTATGTAGGAGTAGGGTACATGATTCACACCAATCTGTGTAGGTGTACATGTATGTAGGAGTAGGGTACACGATTCACACCCATCGGTGTAGGTGTACATGTGTGAAGGAGTAGGGTACATGATTCACACCCATCGGTGTAGGTGTCGGTGTATGTAGGAGAAGGGTACATGATTCACACCAATCTGTGTAGGTATACATGTATGTAGGAGTAGGGTACAGGATTCACACCCATCTGTGTAGGTGTATATGTGTGAAGGAGTAGGGTACATGATTCACACCCATCGGTGTAGGTGTCGGTGTATGTAGGAGTAGGGTACATGATTCACTCCCATCTGTGTAGGTGTACATGTATGTAGGAGTAGGGTACAAGATTCACACCCATCGGTGTAGGTGTACATGTGGGAAGGAGTAGGGTACATGATTCACACCCATCGGTGTAGGTGTCGGTGTATGTAGGAGTAGGGTACATGATTCACACCCATCGGTGTAGGTGTGGGGATGTCACACCAACTGAACAGTTCTCAGTCTCACATCCACTTGTGTGTGGAAGGGTGGGATAGAAGTGTAACCCCACTGCCATGTCTTAGGTATAAATTATAATGCCATATCATGTTTAAGGTTCAGTCTACCTATAATACCATTATAAATGAGCACAACTTTACCTGTTATTTCAAGTAGTCTGTCTGCCAATGTACTTTTTCCATGATCTACATGAGCTATTATACTGAAGTTTCGTATATTTTCAGGAGAAAATTTTGTGAGGTCGATTTCATCCTGTAAATTGACATTAAAATAAGAAAATAATTACTTTGTGCTTTCAGAATATATATAATTGTTTATTACCATATAGATCTAAACAGGTTATCCTTATAATGCATGTAATGAAGGGAACTTCCTAATGTAGAATTTCATAAAAATGATCATGTGAAGCTTGTTTACCTTATCGCTGATATTCATTGCTAAAAGACATGATTTATTTAAAAATTGAATTCCTACACATTTAACCATTGGTGTCATGATCATGAATACACATTCAAATGTTTAGATTTCAAAATTTTAATCTTATCTTTAAACAAATGAGGCCATTGATGACATAAATATAAACATCAATGTAAAAACAAAACAAACAATTATATAAACACATTTAGTTGATAACTGCATGAAACATACACTGTACAATCTGATGTGAACCAACAATGTAAAAATTACCCCAGGTTTTGCACAAACTGTGGAGGAGGATGAAAAACTTCTTTTGGTTTGTCTGGATATATTTATTATAGTTCTGCAAAAGATGAACAATACAATTCAATTCAACATTTCGTAATTGGAATAATTTGATGGCACAAACATTAGTTTACATAACCATAAAACACTAAAAGTATCATATTTGTAGTAAGATGATGAATAGTGATAAAGATAGTGCCTTAGCTGGGGCTTGAACCTGTGACCCTTGGCTGGGGCTTGAACCTGTGACCCTTGGCTGGGCTTGAACCTGTGACCCTTGGCTGGGCTTGAACCCATGACCCTTGGCTGGGGCTTGAACCTGTGACCCTTGACTGAGCTAAAGGGAAATTCCCTACGTACAGCTGATGCTTGTAAGGCAACCTAATCAATGCACATCTTTTACATATATATAGTCTGATCCATGTCTTCGCCCCCCTCTTCTCAGTTCTAGTAACTGTTCAATGAATATAGGTATTGACAAGTATTAATTGCATACTTTCAGAAGACAGGATCATGACATTGACAATTTTTGTACCATGAATATAAGTTTCATTCGGAATGTGTTATGTAATCATTTAGAAGTTAAATATTCAAACTTGAAAGTACATGTTAAGAAACATGTTCTTTGTTTTGTAGTAAAAGACACTCATTAGACAAAGCCTTTGACATTGGGTTGGGGGTTGTTTCATCCCCCACACGGGTGGTTGCTTTGAGGTTCGGTGTAGATCTAGACCCTCAGTAACCTTCACATGATTCATGTATATGTAGATATAATCAGTCTGATTCAGGGCTATCTGGCAAGGGCGGAACTCTTACGTTTCTAAGACTTGAACAAAGGCAGTGATCATCTATCTACTGATCTATCCATAAATTCATCACACACTTACGAGAATTATGTGCATCGTAATTACCAGGTCCAGTACACTCTGCCGATTGAGCTACATAGCTATAAAGACCTATATAGCTATATACACCACAGTGGAAATAAGTCTGTGACTTTACTGTGTTATCTCGGTAAAACATGTATTGTATTGTCCATGTGATGTACTTTTATGTATTGATGCAATGTTTTACCAAATAAATCTATCTATCTACCTATAAATTATAGCTGTATTGAGCTATATTTTCTCATATTTCAATTTCAATTAAATTTAAAAGCGACTTTGTTTCGTTTTCCTTAAAAAAGAAAATCACTTGAAAATAGCTCAAAAGACCTATTTCAGATAGGTCAATAGTGAATAGAGCTATTATAGCTCAATCGTCACAGTGTACTGGACCTGATTACAAACTGGTAAAATTAATGTCTACACATTGTTTATGAACAGCATCAAGCAAGCTGCTGTTTTACTTCGATCCCCTACTTTTATCGACATTAGTTTCAAGGACTCGTATTAAAGTTGATCACCCAATGCTCTGAATGTACTCAGAATCCCAATGTCAACCAGAATACTGTACAATGCTTTTACCGCTTTTGGTGGTTAAATGCTGTTGTGTACAAAACAGCTTTGGTACGCGTAGTTATTCTAAGAAATTTCAGACATCCTGGGCATATAAACATCTCGGACGGGCAAATATGATCATAGGAGATGATTTTGATATCAACCGCAGTTTTCTCTCATGGGCGCAGACATCTTGATTTTGAATAAAAAAGGACTCGGACGATGGGAGTATAATTCCGGATCTGTTGGACGTATAGTACCACCACGGACTTAGATAACATAATCTAATTCCGTGGTACCACCCTACATATTTGAAATGTCATTGACAATTGTAATCTGCCAGTAAGCTTATCTCACTCACTAGTGAATGAGTTATTTCAAACACTTTTTTAAATTAAAACGGATCTCAACTTTGATGTATCTTGATCCACTAAAGATTTAATTCTCAAATCCAAATAATATGCAATATTTGATATAGCACCCTATCTAGCTAACATATGCCACTCTAAAGCGCTTTACAGTACATAGCTATATAATTAATACAATTAGCATATACATTACTCAATACAATTTTGAGGAATTCGCAGGAGCTGCCTTATCAGCGCTAATTACTAGTCCTATGCCACCTGGATAATATCTCCCTGTGTGTGTATGCCTGCGTGTGTGCTGGAGATGTAATGTGTTCTGTTTGTAGTGGGACCGTGTTTCCAACGGTATCATTTATGGTGCCACCTCACTTGAATGCTACAGCACAGACACCGCAATATCCACCCAGACCTTTTTATACTCCACCTGGGTTGTTGGAGTTATGTGGGCAGGAGAAAAACACTTTCTCTGAATATTCCATGCGTACGACGACTTCGGGGATCGAACCCCGGCCGCCTGCGTGGAGGCCGGAGTGTTAACCACACGACCAATCCGCCCATTCATCGAACAACCAAAGGAACATAGACAGATCCTTTTTGAAAATATCATCGAAGACAATATAAAGTCTTTAAAATAAAATATGGTATGAATTTATTGAAAAGAAATAAGAAAAGTTCAGGAATGATTTATGTTATTTTTCTTATATATACTAAACAAGCTCGGGGCTATTTATCGACATGTTATATTCAAGGTACAAATAACTACAAAAAGTTTACTTTTGATGTTGGGTCACGACAGAAAGCATCACATCCTACAACCTACCGAACAGCGAATAAAGAGATCCAGACGACCCTAAGCTACTACATCAATGGTACTGACATGGCAGTTACTCAACTGACTCTCCATATGGACGCACTTTGATCATCTACAAAGCAAAACGTTACTGCTATTGATGAGAACATGCTCTCATGGGTCCGGGTCTACATGGCAATAACGGGCTAGATCTTCACATCTCGTCCGTCCTCATAAGAGTTTAAGTACCCCACCATGGATATTTGGTCTGGAAGTTCTTCAGCCCACATCCACTCAAATCCAACCATTGGAAAGATTTCAGAAGGAGTTTCGGAAGCAACTTTTCTCCCTGATAACAAATACCACCAATGCAAGGATCTACACTCTCTCAGGAGTTCTACCTGTTGAGGCAGAGGTTCACAAGACGATATTTTTCTTGTTTGGAAGTAGTATAGGCCAACGGCCCGGGGCACACTAGAACATAATGTTGCATACAGGCAAATTTCCACAGTTAGGCACGAGCAGTATAGCTGGTCTGGTGAGGTTAGAAAACTTCTTGTCATTTATGATCTTCCTTTCGTCCACCAACTTCTGAACAATACAGTTCCTATAGACAAGCGGAAGCATGGTGAAAGTTTCGGTTACTAGTTATTGGGGAACGTAAGTTAGGAAGTAAGTGGATACACCAACCTCCCTGATTGTTTTTAGCACCGAGGGATACAACCAAGGCATGCCGCACTCCCCATAACCTCGCTAACACAACTGTCTAGGATGGGTCGCCACTACCGATAGTTGCGACTGCTGTACTGGTACGTACCAGCTTCATTGCAACATGAGGCCGTGTAGCCAAAAGTAAACCCCATATGCCAACTATGGGAACTGACTCCTCCAATGCAATTTCTACCAGAATGCAGTGCTTTACGGGAGAGAAGAAACAGCCTTCCTCCACCAATACAACAGTCGACGGTACTCGAGGGACGGAACCCGTATACAACGGTCACACGGAGGAAAACCTTAGTCTATCATTTTTAATTGCAGGCCCTAGGAACTAAACTGCACCAGGTTTCTTTTTACATATGCTCTCCATTGTGAACGGAGGGCAAAACTTCTGAAGCTCGAACAGACTCTGACATATAAACGACAGCGTCACAACTACTGTGCAAACTGCTTGTGACAGCAATAACCCATTTGATCTATGCACGGAGTTTACAGTTATGCATGACCCTTCTAACCTAAATTTTAGTAATTAAGCCAGTTATTTAGGAGTAAAGTAATTACGCTACCGTGCAATACTACCACATATTTTCCTATTCTATGGTACTTTGTTATAGTATACTCTACTCTCTCACGGTCTACATCTTTCTGTCCGATACGAAAACTAATTTCATCATTTTGTATTTTTACTTGATATATATTTTGATCCACGTAGTGATGTGTCAATAAACCAGCAAACATAGTATAGCAGTTTCCGTTTTATAAATCATTATTGTTGAATAACCGAACGTTACATTAAAACGTGCGTGTAATTACATGTAATGGTAACTTTTCACTGTAGTTTCTTTTATTTCGTGATGGCAATAACTCACTTTATGTTTTCACTGTCTAAGAAGCCACCGAGGAAGTTAGGAAAAACTCTTAACACGCAAGACAAGACATAACGATTGATATATTAACCTGTATATTACAAACAATGGTAAAAGCGGGACCTGATGTATGATTTACAACTGTACTAAATGATAGAACAGAAAATAATTCAGTGGTATGAAAGGAATTCTGAAATAAACGTCAATACTTAGAAAGTTGTTTGCCGACCAATTAGGATTTTACAACCCACTGAATGTCAGCTGTGAAATAAAATGATACTTTAAAAGTTGCTGTATTTGAAGTTCGATTTTGTCTTAAAATTTATATTCAAGTAAGATTGCACCATACATCGACGGTCCTCTTAGTAAACGATTATTGTCTAACATTTAATCTTATAAACGTTTTATAATGTTCACTTACATTAAATGTGTCGGTTATTTCAAAGTCACATTTCATTGTCTTGTAGATCTGTCAGCTCGTGATCTCCTACAAGTTAGTGTTGGAAGTTATATTTTCTGTATTCCGTCTATCATCCTCAATACTTCAGGGGGTACGCTCACTACATCCCCAATACTCCATGGGTACGCTCACTACATCCCCAATACTCCAGGGGTACGCTCACTACATCCCCAATACTCCAGGGGTACGCTCACTACATCCCCAATACTCCAGGGGTACGCTCACTACATCCCCAATACTCCAGGGGTACGCTCACTACATCCCCAATACTTCATGGGTACACTCACTACATCCCCAATACTCCAGGGGTACGCTCACTACATCCCCAATAATCCAGGGGTACGCTCACTACATCAATACTCCAGGGGTACACTCGCTACATCCTCAATACTCCAGGGGGTACACTCACTACATCCCCAATACTCCAGGGGATACACTCACTACATCCTCAATACTCCAGGTGTACGCTCACTACATCCCCAATACGCCAGGGGTTAAGCTCACTACATCCCCAATACTCCAGGGGTACGCTCACTACATCCCCAATACTCCAGGGGTTACACTCACTACATCCTCAATACTCCAGGGGTTACACTCACTACATCCCCAATACTACAGGGGTACGCTCACTACATCCTCAATACTCCAGGGGTACACTCGCTACATCCTCAATACTCAAGGGGTACGCTCACTACATCCCCAATACTCCAGGGGTACGCTCACTACATCCCCAATACTCCAGGGGTTACGCTCACTACATCCCCAATACTCCAGGGGTTAAGCTCACTACATCCTCAATACTCCAGGGGTACGCTCACTACATAATCAATACTCCAGGGGTACGCTCACTACATCCCCAATACTCCAGGGGTACGCTCACTACATCCCCAATACTCCAGGGGTACGCTCACTACATCC